AGGCCTAACCCCAATGGGACTTCATAGACAATTACTACACCTATAATTTAAAGATCAAGATGCAATTTGGCCCTTGAACAACATATAGAATTAGACAAGTTAAATACCATTTTTATTCCTTAAATTGTTAATTTTGAATATTTTTAGTTTCTAAATTATTATTTTTTTTTATCTTTAAACTATGAAAAATATATTTTTTTGGTCCTTTCGTCAGCTTAGTTAATTAAGTTTATACATATGTGCATACTTTTAATTAATCCTTGAACCTCACTATAATATATGCAAATTTTTAGTTGTTAAACTTTCAATTACTAAAAATGTGATATGAACATACTTAACAGATGACTTACTGACGAAAGGACTAAAAAGTATATTTTTTATAATTCAAGGGTAAAAATGTGCAAAAATAGTTTAGGAACTAAAAATGTTCAAAATTAAAAGTTCAAGAATTAAAATTGACTTTTAACTAAATTAGACTAGTAAATCCCTTTCTTTCAAGAATAATACATTAATACTAGTTAGTTAAATCTTTTAAGGGTCTTTTTGGAGCATAAGTTACAAATGCTCTTATTTTTTTTTCAACACCAATGTCAAGAATAATTTTTTTGAACAACTAATGAAGTTTAAGTCAATTTTTATTTTTTTTTCATACAAATTAATGAACAAAAGTGCAATATTTCACTCTTGGCACAGTTAGAAAATTTTATCTTTTAATTAGTGAACATGAAAAAATTATTTTTATGTAGTGCTTATTTGGGTAAAGAAACAAAGCTAGTCCTTCAGATTAATTATTACATTCTAATTTCATTTTAACTTTGTTTTCATGCAAAAGACTAATTGCAGATTTTTTTTCTTTTCTCTTCTACTGAAATTTTTTAAGGTTAAGGAGCAACCAAAACTTGAAAAAATCTTGAAGAATGCTGCCACGAAAGATAACACTGTTATTATAACAACTTTAAACGAAGCATGGGCAGCTCCCAATTCTTTACTGGACCTTTTCCTCGAGAGTTTTCGACTTGGGAATGGCACTGATAAGCTTTTGGACCATTTGGTGATCATTGCCATGGATCAAAAGGCATACGAGCATTGTCTTGTTGTGCATAAGCATTGCTTCACTCTTGTTACTGATGGGATTGATTTTCACCAAGAAGCTGGCTTCATGACTCCAATCTACTTGACCATGATGTGGAGGAGGACTGAATTTCTGCAACATGTCCTTGAGATGGGTTACAACTTCATTTTCACGGTAATTGTCAATTTATTTTTTGGTACATTGAGACTTAGTTGTTTTGGTATGGTAATTGTCAATTTATTTCTAAGACATAACCAAGAATAGGGATGGATTTAGAATTCGTATTTTGTTTTGGCAAGTTTATGTATATAAAGTTTTGTTTGTCCATCCAGGAAAAAAAATTAATCCATGGTGTAAAAAGACAAATTTTATTAAGAGGTTTCGTTTGGAGTTTTGTTAGTAGTTATTAATTATTGTTTTAATCAAATACATAAAATACTTTTAATTATAAATAATAACAAATATCAACCATCAAATATCAACTATTAATTATTATTAGTTATATTTGAACAATTAATCCAAACACCCAATATTAATAATTCTTTTCATTAAAAGTACTTTTGTCTTTTTATATTATACATGAAAGTTTTTAGTTTATGATGGACTTAAAAAATGATTGATAATTCTGATCTATATTTACGAAATGTTTAAAAGATTTGTTTATGTGTATTTATGTATTTGAGGATTGACTTTTGGATGGTTTTTTCTTTCTCAGGATACCGATATCATGTGGTTTAGGGACCCATTTCCACAGTTCTATTCAGATGCTGATTTCCAGATTGCGTGCGATCAGTACACAGGAAAGCCCAATGATATGAATAATCGACCTAATGGAGGGTATATGTATGTAAAGTCAAATAATCGATCACGAGAGTTTTACAAATTTTGGACCACTTCACGGGAAACTTATCCTGGAACCAACGAGCAAGATGTGTTTAATATTATCAAGTTTGATCCTTACATCTCAAAAATTGGATTTAAGGTGAAGTTTTTAGATACTGCTTACTTTGGTGGGTTTTGCACACCCAGCAGAGATTTAAATTTGGTTTGTACAATGCATGCCAATTGTTGTTTTGGCTTAGATAACAAGCTTTATGACCTGAGACTTATGCTTCAAGACTGGAGGGCCTTTATGTCATTACCTAAGGATTTGAAGCATGAATGGATCGTTTCATGGAGGGTACCACAAAAATGCAAGTACTCAAAACCACCTAAAAAGTTGTAATGAGTTTTGCTCTAGTTTCTGTCTCCCTTCGTGATTCCATTATGTCCTTATAGTGTGTCAATTTTAGAAGAGCTACCGAAGACTTGTATTAATTTGATGTATGGAATGTGTATAACACACCTCCTTAGGTACTTTTAGTCCTAGAGGAGTTTTGAAATAAAAATTATAGTAAAAGATTACAGTGGAAGTAGAAATACTTTTAATATAAAATATTTTTTTAAAAGAAAACCTGCATTCAAATTAAATTAATATTTTATAAAAAGAAAATCAAATACCTATAAAGGAAAACTATTTTAACAAAAATATCAATATATATCTTACGAAAATGTCAAAATACTCAAAGTTATAAAGTGAGTTAAGATAAGTTCATTTATAATTAATTTAAATATTATATACATAAAAGTAATTTACATAAAAATTTTATGAGGCCAATTGTTCTCCAAAGCTTTTCAAAATAACAAAAGTTGAATCATCGTTTTAGTAACACATTAATCTGCCTTTATAGCAAAAGCATGAGATCCTAGCTTTTACGTATAATGAGCATATGGAACCTCTATTGAAACTTCCAAGCGGGTGATTGCCACTCTAGTCTACAAATCTGAAATATAGGGGAATATCATGAGTTAAAAGCCCACTAAGTATGAAGTTTAAGCCATAAACTTGGGTACTAGGACCCCTAGACCTATACACACAAAGGGCATAATAAACAACTACACCAAGTCAAAAAATATTTAATTCAAATTCAAGTCACAAGGTCATAGGCTCACAATGTCCTGTCATAACAAAATGCATAGAACAAAAATCACACAATGCTATGAAGTCCACAGATGTGTGCCAGCAATACTTGTACCGAAGCTAATCATGGCACTTATCTTACTACACAGAGGTCTATTAAATACCCCGAAGGGTCCATTGAATACCTCAAGCTTTGAGCTTAGACCCACTTACTCCATAGCCACAAGCACGTACACATGTCAAACAAGTGTAAAACATGTTCAAAATAATATTAGAATATTATTCCATTTAATGTTCCCTTTAATCAGTGGCATGGAGAATTTAAGTTCATACTAATATCCACATACATAGCTCACATATTCCATAAAACTTCCTATTGAAAGAAATTAAAGTATAGTGTGTAAATAGTAATTAGTGTGTGAACAATAATTAATGCATGAATAGTAATTAGAGAAGTAGTAATTTACTTCCAAGCTCACGCACAATTCCAGCAAGGTCCAATTAATTGGACAACCCTCATTTTGTCATGCAAAGAATACAAAGGAGCAACAACATATTATTTAACCATCAAATCCACATTAAATTCAAACATGAGAAATAAATTCTTCAACCTTATACAAGCCCTATATTATCCTATATTTCTAACAAAGTTTTCAATGCTCAAAAGTCTCTTAAACTAAGGTTTAAGATCAAATCTCACTAATTTAAGCTAGTTTCCATCATGTTATACGAAATCTTTAATCTACCCAAACTCTAATCCAAATTTATAACCAAAACTCATACTTACCTATGGGAATCAAGCACCAAATTGAAGAAAATCAGCAGAAATTGAAAGGAAATTCAAGGAGAGCACTGCAACTGAAGATAGCAACTTCTCCTTTAACCTTCACAGCTTGGAAGAGAAAGGGGAATAGGTTTAGGAGGTTAAAAGAAGAAATGAAGATTTGCTTTTCTAAAATCTTCTAGAGCCTCCGTGACTTGATTCATAAATTGCCACATGTCTCAAATTTTGGGTAATATAGTTAAATAGTCCCCAACTATCTCAAGATTTCACATAAGGTTCACATACTCTAAATCCAATCAATTTAGTCCCTAAAATTATAAAATAAAGGGTTCTAATTTTTAAATTATTCACCAAGGTATATGGGGTTTTACAATATACATGCACAAAAGTATTGCCTCAACAAGATTGAAAAATTACCTTGAACTAGCATCTTACACCTTACTATGTGAGGTGTTAGATCTTTTTAGCATTTCTTAACCTGCTTTACGGTTTGTTAGGATGTATTTTTACTTTTAAAGAAAAGGCATAACTGAAAATTTATATTGTTAAAAATAAATAATAAAAGAGCTCATTGTTTTATAATTTGAATTATATCAAACTATAAAATAAAGACCTTTAGATGATAGAAGACCCTCACTATCAAGAGTCCACCCCTTATATAATGGTTCATATTTTGTAGTTCAATATAGTTTAGATTGTGAAACGCCTTTTTAATAATAAAATATCGAAACAATATTTCGTCTTGAATAAGTTGCCTAAAAAAATGATAATATCGTCAAGCAATTTATGGGTTGTACACTACCTTTTTTATTATTCTTAAGATACTACTTTAGATATTACATAAATTTGTAAAATTAGAACATAGCAAATCACTATTTTTTAAGTAAATGACATGATAAAACACTCAAAATATGACATTGAAGACTCAGTTAGTTTTAAGAAATACAATCAAAATCTATTATATATATTTTTAAAAAAACTTATTCACATTAACATGTGATTTTTGTTATAAAAAATAAGAAAAAAAAGGTAGTTATATAAAATAAAGGAAAAAATATGTTTACACCCTAAATTGACACACTCGATTGCATACATTTAGTTCAATGGATAAAATATGATTTAATAGGGTTTGTCAAGTGTTAAAGAGTTATCTCTTGCTTATCCAAGGCTATTGTTTAGCATCCATAATTCCTCCTTTGAAATTCCTTATTAATGACTATTGTCTAAAACCCAATCAATCTTTCCAAATTCTACAGATTCCAACACTCACCCATCCCAATTTGACGAAATCTCGTTAATTGCCTTCCCTCAACCTCCCTTTTCTCCAAAATAGCCACACCAAGATCAAAATGATGCCAATCATTAGCAATACACCAAAAATTAATGAAATGGTCACCAACCCTATTTTTGCCTTCATTTCATCCTCATTCATGTTAGAAAAGCTAGGGTTGGGGCCTTTTGGGTTTTGTGGATTTTCCAGTTTTATAGTTATTCTTGGGTTTTGAGTTTCTAAGCATTCAACCTCTAATGGAAATCCACAAAAACTAGGGTTTCCTAAAACTGTTATGGGCCCTTGATTTAAAAGTAATCCTACCTAAGGTGCCTTCCATATCTGGTTGTTTCTCAAATCCATAGATGATGTTGAAGAATGCCCACAAGCTTTGTATGGGTATTAGTAAATTTTTCTCAAGGTAAAAGCAACTCCTCTTGTTCTTGTTTTTAGTAGAAAAAGTTATGGCTCTTTAGGGCTTCAAAGCGCTTAAGCAAGATGTTTCCACCTTGGGTATTTGTAAGCAAAGTTTTTCGCAAAGTTTTCACCTTAGCCTTCAAAGTTTTCATTAACTACATAGAGAAGTTTTCTTTAAAGTAGAATAATATTAGGGATTCTTATTAGTGTCCATTTGGAACCAAGAATAGAGAATAACTTATGAATGGGTATAGGATTAAGTGTATTCGCCTTATATCCCTAAATTAGCCTAAATGCATTTTTTATGGGTTGTGTCCCATTGGGTGTTGAATTGGCAGGTACATTTATTAATGTCTATAAAATAATCTTATACTTAAATACAAAATGAAAATTTAGCTAGATTAACAAAAAGTGATTTGTGAGACAAAAGTGAGGGGGTAGAAAGGGAACTTTGATGATGGAGTTGGAGAAATACATGAAAGATTATAATAACTAAAAAAAGACATCAATTAAGAGAGAAAGTGAGGGGCATATGAGATATTAAACTTTGATGGGTTGTTAAAAGAAAAAGAAGGACTTCACAAATAAGAGAGAGATCAAGAAGAAAAGTAAATGATGAAAGAGATAGAAAAGAGGGACTAAATAAGAAAGAGATAAGAAGAAAAAGTAAGTGCTGAGAAAAATAGAAAGAAGGGAGGATTTAACTTTTTTTTAAAAAAAATTTTTGATTTACAAAGAGAGAAGGATAAATTGAAGTTACAAAAGAGGTATGACATGAATTGGAAGAACATTAACACCTTGAGCAAAATCCAACAATTTAATCCTTGGGATGTTAGAGGTGCTCACCTAAAATAAGTATAATATATATGGAACTTTTATTTTTTAGTCTTCAATCCCGGCCAACTATTTAAGTAGGTTATTGCTAATATCCTTTTAATAAAACATTTTGAGTGTGAGTCATATGTTATACAAATGGGATAAGTTCCAGAGTCTTGAATTTGAGTCGCTTGACATGTAATAAGGTGGATTTTTGATTTTTTTATATTTATAATGTAGTTGGTTTCTAAATACAAATATTAATATTTAATAAGATAGATTTTTAAATTGGGTTTTTGGTTTCTAAATGTAGATATCAATATATAATGCGAATTTTTAATTTTTAAATTAAGTTTTAATTAGATGAAATAATGTTTTTTAAGATTTGGACTTCAATGTTTTTTAAAGAGTCGAAAGTGATATATATGCATGTCTTCCATATATATATGAGAAGAGATTCGTTTATATACAATTTTTACATATCATATTTATACAAAATCTTTATCGTTCATTTCTTTACATTTAATGATTGAGATTTATCATAACTTTTAAAATGAAAAAGATAATTAGTTTTAATAAATGTGAATAAATTTCAACCATAAAAATGGAGGATGAATGCTTGAGATTTTGTATATAAATGGATCTTTACCATATATATGAAGATAGTGTAGGATTTATCGTACTTCGAAATATTTTTTAAATGACTTGTCTAAAAACTTATATTCTAATTATTATTTTTTTTTGAAAAATTGACTGCTAGATTGAAAGTTTTATTTATATAAATCATGCATGTCAATTTTCATTTTAATATAATATTTATAATCCTTCAATTAAAAAAATTTTATTTATTGACATATATTTAATTATATTAAATTTCCTGTAATCAACGAAGTGATTAGGCCTTCTAGAACAATTTGAAGATTGGCATGTACGATCTATATAAATATAACTTTCAATCTAACAATTTCTTTTTGAAAAAAATTAATTAAAAAATGTTTTTAGACATATCCTCCAAAAGAATTCAGGAGGACAACATGTAAAATACTCTTCTTTATATATAGATATTCAGGAAACTGGTTTGCAGTTGACAGTGTTAATTTTTTTATGAATGGAGTTATTAAAACGGCATCATTTTAGTGTTAAAAAGTTTAGTACCCAATTTTGCTAGTTCTTGTCTTTAATTTACCTCTATTTTAGACATTCATATACCCTCAATGCAAATTCCTTCTCTGAATTCTTCATCTTCGCATCAATAATCTCTTCCTCTTTTCTTCAATTTTCCTCTATTTCATTCAAAAACCGTCTATTCTATCTTTTTATTTCCCAAACTTGATTCTACTCATCTCCAACTTATCCTTAAAATCTCTACTAGGAATTATAAAAAACTTTAGACGGTAGAGAAAGAACAATAGGAAAGGCAAAGAAAGAAGAGAGAAACTGGAATGAAAGAAGACTTAAAAAACAAAAAATTATTATATCTCTTTGGTACATATTCTTTTTTAGCTGCTTGTGGGCTTTGTGAATTAGCTTTAGAAAATCAAGCCTTATTCCTTAAATATAATTTTGCTTATAGAATTTGAATTAGATGTTTTGCATGTTGGGGTTTACTTTCTATGCTCCTTAATTTGTGTTTGGGGATGACAAATTAGTGAGGAAGAGATGATATGTAATTTGGTTTGGTATTATAAGAATGATAAGAACTAAAGTTATGCTTAAAAACCTTGAGGTCAATGAAGAGAAATTGCTATAATTGGTGAAGTTGAGATCTTTCTATTGACTCACAAACTTGTGAGAATCATAGCAATTAAAGGAAGAATAAGATGAAGGCAATCCATCAACTTTTGAGACAATGAATGAAAGCACCCAACAATGAAAGAGGTAAATCACAATTGAAGAATAGTTGAAAGGAGAA